CCACACAGGCAATGATCACTCCCTCTCACACCCAGGTGCATGGAGAAAGCCGAGCCGCACCATTCGGATGAGGGAGAAGAGAGCTGACTTCGTGGCTGGCTGTCTGGGAGGAAGAGTGGTGGCCATGGGTGGCCTTGGTAATGCCAGGGGTAGGAATGTGGCCATGTTCCCATCCCCATCTTTTTGGCACATCAGTGACCTACGTGGCAGCAGGGTGGTTGACAGTGCAAAGCCACAGGGGTACTGCAACACTGCCTGCAGCTACATCCCTCCTGTGCCCTCCAGGTGCTGGGGGGGGCCTGCTGCCCTGCCCCACAGGCTGCCCTGCTGAGCCACTTGTCCCTTTTACCCCTCGACCAGGCTTTTCCCTGCTCATGTGCAGCGTGCCGGGCTTGCACAGTCCATGGAGGCTCAGCCCTGCTGTGCAAGCCTGCAGCACTGCATCCCTCTCCCAGGAGAGCTGGGGAAAGGTTAGTGCTGTCACTCAGCAGCAGAGGATGCAGCAGGGAGAGCTTCCCAGGGAGCCTGTTGCCAGCCACAGCACCCCCAGCCCTGCAGTGAGGGCTGCCAGACCCCCCGAGCTCGCCTGCAGAGAGCCGGGCAGGAGGGCAGGAGGTTGGGGAATGCGAGCCATGCGGGCTGCATCCCTGCGGAGTGGCATTGCTCCGGAGCGCTGCCGCGGCTGGAGTTGCCCTCCCTTATCCCTGCAGGGTGTCGGTACGGGGCGGGGTGGCAGTGCGGCATTAGTGCCAGCAGCCCTCCCTGTGGGGACTCTGCTAATCCTTTTGTGCCCCCTCTAATTGCCTCTGACATCTCAGAGCCTCCGCAGCCCAAGGCTCCTGTTGGGGCATCAAAGGCTTGTGGAGGGGGAAAGACAGAGCCTGGAGCGCGGGGGGGCTGATGCCATTCTGTCTCCCACAGGGAACCAGTCCTGCCCGCTGGACTCAGTGGAAGGGTTCAGCCTCTCACAGAAGAAGTGGGAGCCGCTGCCCCCCATGCCCACAGGCCGCTGCTCCTGCTCCAGCTGCCCAGCACCCAGCCTGCTCTTCGTCATCGTCGGGGTGGCCCAGGGCCCCAGCAGCGCCGTCGAGGCTCTGTGCCTGCGTGAAGTGCCCTGAGTGGGGTCCCAGGGAAAGCCCCAGCCAAGCACCAAGTGCCTGAAGACGGGGACAGGGTGTCTGAGCACCCATGCATGTGGGTGACCTTGGCTCCAGGGAGCTGCCATCCGGTGACTCCGGGTGCCAGAGCAGCTGTGGGTTTGGAAACCTGTCTCAGCTCCTGTGGCACTGTGGTGATGGAGCCTAGGGCGAGCTGCCTGGTGGGAGGGCCGTGGCCAGCAGTGAAGAGGACGCAGTGG